TAGGTAAAATATAAATAAAATATATTTAGTTTTCATTTAGTTTCACATATTTTTTTTTTCTTTTCCAAATCTCTTTTTAAATATCTCAACCAAACACAGTTTTGCTTGTGCCTTAAGTGCACTTGATAGTAAGAACCCAAAAAAATGTGGAATAATTATCAATAGGTCTTATTGATTAGATTTATTTACTCATAAATCCTTAATATTTTTTTGACAATTACCAAAAAAAAAATTAAAAATAAAAACCCATGATTTGAGTTTTTGCAATAAAATAAACTCTAAGTTTATAATTTTGTCAATTTAAACTCCAATATTTTAATTTATTTTCAATTTAAGTCATTCGTCTATTTTTGTTAAATAAAACAGATGAAAAAAAGTATTTTAGCCATTAAACCTAATCTAGGTATACATAAAATGTCTAAAATATTTTTTTATTGATTTTAATAATTAAAATACTCATTTTTTTCATTAATTTTACTTAATGAAAATAGGCAAATTATTTTGATTTCAAAAAATCAAAAGCTTAGGGTTTAAATTGAAAAAATAAAAAATTAAGGTTTATTTTATTATAAGGTTCAAATCCTCAGAGTTTTTTTTTTTTTCTCTAATTTCCCCCTTTTTTATGTATTTGTATGCCTCTCATTTTGATAATGAAAATTTTTTGAAACTTTTTAGATGTGTTTTGTGTTTATAGAATGATCATTTAGTATTTGTAATAAATGATTTGGACACTTTTTGTTTATGAATTTTAATTTATTTGTAGTAGATTCTATTGAAATTTGATGTGGGAACGTGAGAAATGTAAGTAATTAAATTGTATTTTTGAAAAAATAATAATTTACAGTCATTTTATCATTAAATTAAAATAAAATTTTTGAATAAATAAATTCCAACCACAACATCTGCTTATAATTGTCTCAAAATGTATTTAAAAGCTCCATTAAAGTTGGGGGTTGTGGATGCAAATTACATTTTAAGTAGTATATTTATATAAATATTATACTTTCAAAATAAATTTTAAGAAAAAAATTATTTTAAAATCACAACTTGAACTAATAATTTTAAGTGAAATTGTAAATTAAAGTTGCAATTTAAAACTTAGTTAGTCACACACTAAGGGTGTAAATCTGGTTCGGTCCGACCCACTCAGGCTCGGGCTCGAGCCGGCCCATGTTGGGCCTCGCGGTCTCCTGCCTAAATTTGGGTGGGGCTGGCCCACAGGTCAAAAAATTAGGCCCAACCCCAAGGCTATTCAAGCCTTGGGCGGTTTGGCCCGATGGGCATGGGCCGGGCCTGCCCATTTCTTTTATTTTTTTAAAGTTTTTCTACCAAAATTTTATTATTTTCTATTAAAAAAGACACTGGGTCTCGGGCAGGCCAGGCCTTGAGTGAGTCTTAAGCGGGCCGATGGGCTGGACCACAGGTCGGTCCGAACTTCAAAATGATGGCTCAAGCCCAAGCCTAGGGGCTCGGGCCTAAACGGTCCGGACCCATCCCGGACCACAAGCAAACTTCGAACCACCCACAGGCTGCAGGCTATTTTTACACTTCTATCACACACTAACTTGTCAAACTTGCTAATGCAATAATCGCCTTCCATACTCAGCTTATAAATTAATTTATTAATTTCAAATAAGACTAAAGATTTATTTGATGTAAACTTATATCCAGAATCAAAATTTCAATGTGCATTTAAATTCTACTTGCCATCTCTATCCTTTAGAAACTATCACTGTCTCTCTCTATAAAAATATGAGTACATGTAACTCTTTTATTTCACTTAGTATATCTAAAATATAAATTGACTCATTATTACAAAAACTTATAGATAAAAAGAAAAATAAATACAAGTTTTTATTTTTTATTTTTATCAACACATAGATTATACATAAGAGACAATGAATTAAGCTAGCTAAGTAGGAGTGAATATGTTGTTTAATTTATAGGAAATTGTTTCTTATTTTTATACCTTAAATCTATAGTGAAATTTGGGTTTCATTTGATTACTTACCGTTAGTGAGGGAATTATTAATGTGAGGATTGTTAATGAGAGGACTAAGAAAATTATTTTTGTTTGTGATATATTTTAGTGAATGGATTAATTATATGAAATACCATAAATACCATTGGGTGTTTTTTTTATAA